CCAGAGTGAGAGGAGATCCCATCCACGAAAGAGACAATAACATTCAAGACGCAACCACAATAGGAGAACCCAAATCACTCAAGCAGGGGCTTTCCTAGAGCACCCAGCTCAGGAGGTCTAAGAGACTGCACCACTGGGTCCCACAAAACAACTACTACATAAGACCATGTCACCAAGTCTGGGAGGTGTAGCAGTCTGACCTAATACACAGAAACAAAAACAAAGGGACAAAAATGGGGAGACAAAAACAATTCCCAAATGAAAGAAAGGGAGGAATCGCCAGAAAAAGACCTAAATGAAATGGAGGCAAGCAGTTTGTCAAATAAAGAATTCAAAGTAATGGTAATAAGGGTGCTCAAACAACTCAGTGAGAATTACAAGCAACTTAATAAGAATTATAAGGGACTTAATGATAGCTACACCAACATGAAAAGAAAAGTTGAAACAATAAATAATAACCAATTGGAAACGAGGAATGACATAGCTGAAATAATGAACACCCTGGAAGGATTCAATAGTAGACGAGAAGAAGCTAAGGACCGAATCAGCAAATTAGAAGACAAGGTAGAAAAAACAAACAAACACACATTCAGAGCAGCAAATGGAAAAACATAATTAAAAAGCAGGAGGAGAGTTTAAGGGAGTTTTGGGACAACATGAAATGTAACAACATTCGGATCATAGATTGGTAGAATCAACATTATTAAAATGTCCATCCTACCCAAAGCAATCTATACATCCAATGCAATCCCTATTAAAATGCCAATGGCATATTTCACAGATCTAGAACAAATACTCCAAAAATTTATATGGGACCAAAAATGAGCCTGAATAGTCACAGCAATCTTGAGAAAAAAGAACAAAGTTGGAGAAATCACAATACCAGATATCAAGTTATACTACAAAGCCACTGTACTCAAAACAGCATGGTACTGGCACAAGAAAAGGCATATCGATCAATGGAACAGACAGAGAACCCAGAAAGCGACCCAAGCCATTATACTCAATTAATATTTGACAAAGGAGGCAAGAGCATGCAGTGGAGTAAAGACAGTCTTTTCAATAAATGATGCTGGGAAAACTGTACAGGTCCATGCCAAAAAAATAAATAAAATAAAATGAACTAGACCACTAACTTACACCATACACAAGAATAAACTCAAAATGGATAAAAGACTTAAATATAAGTTGTGAAATCATAAAAATCTTAGAAGAAACCATAGGCAGCAAAATCTCAGACATCTCTCGTAGCAATATGTTTACCGATACATCTCCTAGGGCAGTGGTCGGCAAACTCATTAGTCAACAGAGCCAAATATCAACAGTACAACGATTGAAATTTCTTTTGAGAGCCAAATTTTTTAAACTTAAACTATATAGGTAGGTACATTGTTATTAACTTAATTAGGGTACTCCTAAGCTGGCCTTTGCTAAAAACGTCCTCAATCTGATTGAGGTACGTTCGCTGAGGTCGACCCCTTCCAACTCTCCCATCCACACTTGTCTTGTATACTTGTTTCGTCTATCTCCTTTCCGAAAACCAACTTCTGCACATGGGCCACGAAGTTTCAATCGCACTGTACGTGCGCGCCCCCACATGGTATTTTGTGGAAGAGCCACACTCAAGGGGCCAAAGAGCCGCATGTGGCTCGCGAGCCGCGGTTGCCGACCACTGTCCTAGGGCAAAGGAAACTAAGAAGAAAATAAACAAGTGGAATATCAAAATAAAAAGTTTCTGCACAGCAAAAAAAACCATCAACAAAATGAAAAAAGAGCCCACTGCCTGGGAGAACATATTTCCCAACTATACATCTGATAAGGGCTTAATTTCCAAAATACATAAAGTACTCATACACCTCAACAAAAGAAAGACAAACAATACAATCAAAAAATGGGCAGAGGACCTAAATAGACACTTCTCCAAAGAGGACATACAAATGGCCAAGAGACGTGAAAAAATGTTCAACATCACATCACTAGAGAGATGCAAATTAAAACAATAATGAGGTACCATCTATCAGAATGGCTGTCATCAACAAACAACAAGTGCTGGAGAGGATGTGGAGAAAGGGGAAGACTAGTTCACTGCTGGTGGGAATCCAGACGGGTGCAGCCACTGTGGAAAACAGTATGGAGTTTCCTCAAAAAGTTAAAAATGGAACTGCCATTTGACTTAGTGATCCCACTTCTAGGACTGTATCCCAAGAAACCCCAAACACCTATCAGAAATAATATATGCACCCCTATGTTCATAGCAATGCAATTTATAATAGTTAAGATTTGGAAACAGCCCAGGTGCCCATCAGCAGTAGATGAGTGGGTAAAAATGCTGTGGTACATTACACAATGGAATGCTATATGCAGCAGTAAAAAAGAAGGAACTCTTACCATTTGCAACAACATGGATGGACCTTGAGGGTATTATGCTGAGCGAAATAAGCCAGTCAGAGAAAGACAAGTATCACATGATCTCACTCAAATGTAGAATCTAATGAACAAAATAAACTGATGAACAAAATAGATCCAGAGACATAGAAGCATGGAACAGTCTGATGAATTTCAGAGGGAAGGGGTGGGTGGGTAGGGGAGACAGAGATTAACTGGGGAACTTATATGCATGTATGCACAGCCCATGGACACAGACAACAGTGTGGTGAAGGCCTGGGAGGGGCAGGTACTGGGTAGAGGGGGTTAATGGGGAGAAAAATAAAAACAAAGGGGACATCTGTAATACTTTCAACAATAAAGATAAATGAAAAAAAATCTCAAAACTCCCACTGAAACATGACCCTGTATCATTACCCTGTATTTGGAATGCACAGCGCGCTGGAGTCCTGCTTCGTTTTTCAAATAGAGCTGGACTTTTCCAGTGTGTGAGATGCCCCTTCCCATCCACTCTCTGCTCAGTCCACATTGTGCCCCATATAAGCTGTAGGAAAAGGAAGCCAGCTTTCTTTTAAGCAGGAAGAGCTTTCTTTTAAGCTGGAATTTTAAAATTCCAAAGGGAATGAAAGGTCAAGGCAGAAATTAAGGGAGAGAGAAGTGGGTCATGACTAGCGCGGAGCTGGGGAAGCATGGAAAAGGGAGGGGCCCTCAGGAATACAAGGTGGCGGAGAGGAGAGACCAAATGGGCAGGAGGGAAAAGCTCCAGAACTGAGGGAGAGTAAGGACGAGAAACCACTATCGCACATGTGTGCACATGTGTGTAACTGGCCCCATTCTACACATTCCATCCTTTTCATCTCCTTGTGACTTTCTTCTACAAAGGAGTGTAGAATTTTAAGTTTTTATCAATCAAATCTCTTATCTCCTCACCCAAGTAGGTCTACAGTGAAAAACAACATCAAATGACTTTTCAAAACAAGTGAGTTTAACATCTTTACTTTGGTCATTGTCTGAACAATCTCAAATGCTTAAGATGTCCCCATCACTTTCATAATCATGTAAGGTTGAAACATTTTTAACTTCAAACAGCACCACCAACTTCACATACGCCTGATAAACTCGATAAACTTAGAGTCTTAAGGGACTACTATTACCCAACCTTCAAGGGCCACTTCAGTCCATCTCCGCTGTGTCCTAGATGTTTCCACTCCTCTCAAACTCCCCCCCAACCCCCGCCCCCCGGGCAACCATGAACAAACTTTCATACTCTACCTTCAGTATATACCCGAGATCTCACTGCATTAACAATTCCTGGTCTTGGACCCGGACTCCCACAACAGCCCCCAAAGCTCACTCTCCACTCAGCACAGTGCACCCACTGGCAGACTGAGCCACTCCTCGGCTCAGAATCTACAGAGCAAACAGCGAGGTGCTGACTGTAGGTCCACTGGCCACATCTGATCTGCCCCCTGCAAGACCCCTCCCCTGCCACCCACCTCCAGACAATGTGTTCCTACTTAATTCTCGAACGTGCCAGGTGTGCTTTTCACCTTAGGGCCCGGAATTCCCCCTGATATCCCAAAGGCTCAGCTCCTCACTTCACCAAGGTCTCTGCTCAAGTGGTACTTCCCAGGCCTTTCTGAGCCCCTTACAAAGACAGCAAGCACCCCACCCCAGGGTACCCCTGACCTTCAGACCTTAGCACACATGCCACCACTTGACACATACTGATTTACCGGTGGTCTCTCTCTTAAAACATAAGCCTTGTGAGGAGGGACCTTGTGTTCTTCTTCATATGGCTCCTGACACATTATAAGCACTCAACAAATAGTGCTGAAAAAATGAAAGAGCAGGATCATGAAAGCGTATAAAATCTCTAAGCACACTTTCTTGGCATATTTTAAAATACAGGTGAGGAACGTACACTCAATGTGTGTCACAGTGCCAGCCTTCTCTTAATTTCACTCAACCTAAAGGGCAAATGTCAAGCGGTAGGTAACACTCATTGGCAAAAGCACAGGCACTCTAAGTTTTTTCTAGCAATGCCTTTCAAAAGTCACAAGATGGGGACCTGCTTCATGAGAACTCTGCTGGTAGGAATCTGTGGGTTTGTGAATCTCTATTTGTGTGCACATTTCTACCTCTTCACCTTCTTTAAGGGCCATGATAACAGAATGCATATGGAAGATCCAATGTATTTATTTGAGCAAGCCTTCAAGATAAAAAAAGTCACCAGCCCTACTCTAGGTTATGTATCAACTGGTTTTAATATGCTTGTGTTTTAAAATAGGGAAGTGTCAAACACTAGCTTGCACCAAAAACCAACCAACTAACAAACTTTTTAAAAGAATAACTCTATTTCCTCTCTCTTTCCATGAAACCTGGGAAAATCATTGCCATTATCTATGGAACCCCAGCTTACTAAAATCAAACCTTTCTGTACAACCTGAAGCTTAAAGGCTCTTTCCCTTGCCCGATGGATGCCACAGCCGGTCTGTACACGTGACTGAGTCCTTGGAATGAGCCCCTTTCCCCCCCGAGCAGCAGGAGGTCACACACAGGGAGAAGCAAATACCCAATGACCTGACCACAAGGCCCGCTCGGCCCGAGCTTACCACTTCATCCTCGGTCCAGCACTTTTCGATCAGCTTAGGCACGGGCTTCTTGACCAGGCGCTGCAGGGCTTTGCCGGCATCATATCCGCTTTCGTGTAGCTAAACAACAACAGTTTTAGTTAGTTAACGGAACAAAGAACAGCGGGAAGCACATCAACAAAGGGAAGCCCCCGCGTTTACTCGACTAGCAGGACTGCTAACTGGGCACAGACTCAATCATCTCAGTCAGCAGGATCATCTGCTCCTACTCAGCCACCCTTCCAGGTCCAGCTGTTCTGAGGGTGACAGGTAGGGCAGGGAGCCTCTGGGCAATGATAGGAATAGAATTAAGAACAATAACAAATATTTACTAAACAGCTGGCCAGGCACAGTGTTAAGCACATCCCGTGCACTCATTATTTTTCTTAATCCTATAAGGAAGGTATTCTCGCATTTAATCTTACGGGATGGGCACTATTATCATCCCGTTTCACAGATGAGGACACTGAGGCAAAGAAAGGTCGAGTAAAGGTGCTCACCACACTAAGCCAGTAGGCAATAGAGCCAAGAGACTCAAACCCAGCTAAGGCGATCCTCACTCTGTCCCATTCTCCCCAAAGCAGCCTAACAACATTCTAGAATCTAGAGTCTAGAATCAGTGATGGCGAACCTATGACACGCGTCAGAGGTGACACGCGAACTCATTTTTTTGGTTGATTTTTCTTTGTTAAATGGCATTTAAATATATAAAATAAATATCAAAAATATAAATCTTTGTTTTACTATGGTTGCAAATATCAAAAAATTTCTATATGTGACACGGCACTAGAGTTAAGTTCAGGTTTTTCAAAATGCTGACACGCTGAGCTCAAAAGGTTCGCCATCACTGGTCTAGATTATGCTCTTTCTCTTAAGTCTTTAAACTGCAGTAATTTCACTAAAAAAATTTCAGGTACCTAAAATGTCAGAGCTTTATAAAGAAACAAATAATTCTGTAACCGTTTACTAACATTTCAGTACATATGAATGAAGATCCTAGTTTATCTACACATTCTAATGAACTTTCCTCACTCCATATCCTTTTTGAGCCCAGGCAGTGCCTGGCGCCACGGACCCCTCTGTCTCTGGCTTGCTTTCTGTGACCCCACCCACTCCTGGTCCCCGAGTGTCAACTTGCAGACAGTGGAGAGAAGTAGCAGGCAGGAAGATCCTCGTGCTCAATCTACCTTTCCACATTTCGGCCATTCCTCCAGAACTCTCACTGGAAATCTGATCTATTTCTCTGATACAAGAATCTGTCTTGGCTAAGACTTGTACCTCTGATGCCTAGCACAGTCTGCAGCACAAGGTGATCCAGAAGAAATACTAGTTAAATTAATCACTAAATGCCTTTAACTTGTGTCCCTAGGTAGCCTGAACCCAAATCTAAATTTCCATTTACTTGAATGCATTCTGCCTTCTGTTGACTGAGTGCCTATTACACCCAGGCACTGTACTAGACCCCCTGGGGGTGCAGCAGCAAACAAAACAGGCAGAGGCATCCCTGCCCTCAGGGAGTGGAACTCTGATCTTTTCACCTGTGCGTCACCACCTTATTTGAACAAACCACTGGTATTTGCTGAGCACTCAGTACAAATAAGTCACAAACCTTATTAGGTCACAGTTTTTATTTCCAGAAAACTCACAAACTAGTGGGGATGTGTTATGAGGATACAACACATACAGGATGACAATATCAAGTAGGCTGTAGGCACTACTATCATCAAGGTGTAGGCAAAGAGCTGTGGCCTCCCACAAGGAGAGAGCCCTGAGTTTCTTCTCTTTAGTAGAAGAGTCTTAGAAGGGTGTACACTGGCAGAGGTCCTCAAACTTTTTAAACAGGGGGCCAGTTCACTGTCCCTCAGACATTCCACACATGCGCACTGCGGACCCGGGATGAGTCGGCTGCTAAGCAGGACAGGCAGCGGCGGCAACCAGATAAATGTTTTCGGCGGGCCGCATGTGGCCCGCGGGCCGTAGTTTGAGGACCCCTGGTGCACAGACTGCCTTACTAGTGCCAGGGCTGGGCCAAAGCCTGTGATCAATATTTGTTGAATGAAATAAACATTTCACAAATACTCATTCATGGAAACAGAATGTTTTATATATTAAAATGTCCAGAGCATTCTCACAGTTTAGAGGCCCCCAATTTATTTAAATCCAGACTGTGCAAAGAAGTCAAGGTTATATGTTAATTATAACAATAAGCCGACTACCTTAAAACAAGACAAAACGCCTACAAGGTGAATGCTGGATCTTGCTTTGGTGGCGGTACAGTGCGCAGGGATGAGGGAGCAAGGAAACGGGTGCTAGGTATTAGCTTATGTATTTTTATAAAATTTAGCATTAGACTACTTTAAAAAGAAAAGAATATACTATACTTTACTAAGTAAACAAACTAAATCCTCAAAGTTCTGTATTTTTCAAATGCTTGAAAACTATCTAGTCTGCTTTCATAAGTGTAAAATAAAGTTAGATTTTCAAGGTCTGCCTAATATCCAGACCAAGCAAGTATGTGCCAAATCCTATAATATAATGAGGATCTATAAAGAGAGCTTAATTGGAACTCCAATCTTGATTGGAACTGAATAAAAGGAAAAATTGCATGCCTATTTAATTTTTTAAAAAGCACACATTTTAGTGATAATTTGAAATCAATTCAAGTTGATCAAATTATAAATTCTTAATAAAAAGCTCATGGCAAACAAACATTTTGCAAAAGGTAATTACAGTATATGGGGTAATTACAAGGAGTGATGAAAAACTGGACTTTGGAGCCAAAATATGGATTCAAATTCTAGCTCTACTGCTTACCAGGTGTGTGACCTCGGCAAGTTACTTATCCCTCTTTGGGCCCCAATTTCGTCACCTTTAAAAATTAGTGTAATAATAAACCTAGCTCTCAGGGCTCTTGTGAGGATACCAAATGCATGGAAATTGCTAGGACTGTATAGCATAGAGTATGCTAAGTGAGTGTTGCCATGTATTTTTAATAGGAAAGAGAAAAAAGAAAGGGAGTGGTCTCATATCGATTTTCATCCATTTTCTAGAGAGTAGCCTTCTCAGATATAGAGAAAGTACTGTGTCCAGGTGGCGTGGCTCAGTGGTTGAGAGTCAACCCATGAACCAGGAGATCACGGTCCGATGCCCCGGTTACCGGCTCAATCCCCACTGTGGGGCATGCAGGAGGCAACTGATCAATGATTGTCTCTCATCATTGATGTTTCTCTCTCTCCCCCTCTCCCTTCCTTTCTCTGAAATCAGTAATAATAATAAAAATACACATATTAAAAAAGAATGGTTAAACTATAAACAAAAACCACTTATGTTTCACCTAATTACTCATGTTAATAATTTACAAAATTTCATTAAAACTCTGGTTCAGCAACAGAAATTTTCTAAAAATTTTAAACCTTCTATGGCTGATAATAGGAAAGTACTCATGAGAACATAAATGCCATTGCAAAAGTGAACGAGTGACTGAAGTGCAACCCAATGCCATTGCTCCCGCTGACATGCCTGCCTCTCAGTGAAACGGAGAGCTGTAAGCGATCGCTGGGAGCAAGGTTTTGAATAACTTACTGCGCGTGTGTCTGTGGTTGCCCCATGTAGCAGAGAGGCTGACTCCTGCTGGCAGGGCCCCTTCAGTTAAATTTCTAGTGAGGTGCTTACTAGTCTTAGAGAAAGAGGCATTTCCTCCTACACACAGCCCAGCACGCCCGCCTTCTTTACAAATCTTGATTTGAGATCACACTTTCCCTTGAAGAAGCTGCTGCAATTTCTGTGGTAACCTGAGCTTCCTTCCGCTACTCTGATCTCTAAATAGTGGAAACTCCTCCCTTTTATTTGATCTACTGTCCTATTAAAATAGTCCTATTTCTGAAAATATTACATTCCATAACATAAACCCAATAAATACTTAGAGTGTCTGCCTCTCCCACTTCTACACAAAGACACATTTGAAAAGGAAAAAGAGTATTGACCAACAGTGATGAGATCTGCATGGAACACACACAGGCAGGGAACACTGTGCTGTCAGCAACCACACAGTGAGGCCAGCACGAGAGCTCAGTCACGGGCTTGCCAGCATGGCCTCTTCCTCTTACAAGGGAACCAAATGGAACCTTTCTAAACAGTCACCTCCTTCTTCCTTTTGTGTAAAAATACATACATATATTTTGAATCCTCACCCGAGGATATGTTTATTAATTTTACAGAGAGGAAGGGAGAGAAACAGCGATCAGTTGACTCCCATAAGCACCCCAACGGGGGATTGAACTTGCAACCTAGGTATGTGTCCTGACCTGGAATCAAACCCGCAACCTTTTTGTTATATGGGATGATGCTCCAACCAGCTGAGACACCTGGCCGGGGCAGTCACCTTCTTCTTGATGTTAAAAACATTTCTTTCCACTTTCCAGGAATCCTGGCTGAGGAAATTCTGAGAGCTTTACAGAAGTACTTTAGTTATATTTTACTAAACATATGCGTTTTACATACTAACGGTTTTATGGTCCACATAGCTTCACAAGAATAAAGATTATCTGTTGAGCACTTTGGGGAGATTACTGGAGTTCAGGATACCCTGCAAGCCTCCCACAAATATTCATTGAGTGTCACACTGTTCCAGATACTATTCTAGGTCCCGGGGATAGACACGGCCGTGAACGTCAGAAATGCAAAACGGAGACGGGTAACCTGTGAGAAGCAGTTTAAAGCAGCGGTCGCCAACCTTTCGGACCTCATGGACCACTGGTTGGCGACCGCTGGTTTAAAGTACTGGTTTCATACGACACCTAACTAGATGTCAGATCCACACACTAGGTTCCTAATAGGCTGGGTTTACCTGCTGCCTTTGCTTGATGCGACAGACACAAGCAAGCCCTTCTTGAAAGGAGTTTGTTTTCTATGTGATTGTGAAGATTTTCGTTCTTCAGACTAGGGCCCAAGTAATGTTTGAGGAAGAGCTAAGCCGGATATTTCAACTCTGTTCTTCATGTAAATTAGAGTTTGCTGTTTACCTAATACCGGCTATCTTAAATCTGCAAAAATTGTCATTAAAAACATTCCCCTCTAATACA